GAGGTTAGTATTTATGTGTTGGGTTGTAAAGATTTTTCACAGATCACTCAATTTCTTCTTATATTTTGCTAGGATTCGACATGTGGATTTCTGGGTGGACTGATCCTCCAATGTGTGAACGTTCAAAAGCAATAATACCTGCTTTGTTGAGATCAATCAACAAGATAAAGTATGCACTGAAAAAAAAATGAAGGAAGTAATTGTATGATCCCTTCAATCTCTTTCATTTTCTAAATTTTTATTCATTTTACAATTTTCGTAATTAATTACAAAAAATATATATATATATATAAACCTAAAATAATACGCACATCCCATTGACATCCCTTCAATCTCTCTCTCTCTCTCTCTCTCTCTCTCTCTCTATCTATCTATCTATCTCTTTTTTTTCTCTCTCTACTATTCACCAGAGACCACAAATGTCACCGTTGGAAACCACTGGTGTCATCCGTCGGTATTGTTGGAAATTGTCACCACTAACTGTTAGGATCTCTCTTTCTCCGTTCGAAGGCGACTTCCAGATCCGGAAGACGAAAAGTGAGAAAACTCGTCGGAACCCTCGATTTCCGGCGATGAAAATGAAACCCTTGCTCGATTCCAGTGAAGAAAGAAAGAAACCCTAGCTTACGACTTCGTGTTTTCAAAAACCCTAGCTCTGCCTTCGTCTATATCCTTCGTTCGCCACATTTCCGATAAGGAGATTAAGAAACCCTAATCTGAAGCATTCCACCTTTCTGCTAGTGACGTCGCTGGCGACGCTAGAAAGATGTTGCAAATCCGATGTTTGAGAGTAGGGTGAAGTAAACGTCGAGATGGTGGTGCTCCAGACACGATAATCGACGGAGCCACCGTCTGTGGCTCGAGTTTCCGAAAGAAGTTGTCATCGAGTTTCCGATCTTTGTGTTGTAAAACGAAGACTCCAGAAAAACGGTGACATTATGAAGGCGACGACGAGATCGAAGATCGAATCAAGGTTTTACAGATCGAAGTTGGTTTGGGTTGCTCAGAGTCATCTGTTGTTCCGCTCTCTTTTACCTTCTTTAACGAGAGGTGGTAGTCTGACGACGGTGGTGTCCAATAGGAGGTAGCGGTCCGACAACATTGGAGATATATATATATATATATATATATATATATATATATATATATATATATATATAATATATATATATATATAGAGAGAGAGAGAGAGAGAGACAGAGAGAAAGAGAGAGATGATGTTTGTGTGTTATAGGTGGGGTAGTGTGACAACCCAGCTGAGAATAAGTCACCAACTGCCGTTAATATTTAAGGATAGGACGTAAAATTCTAATAGGAACATCCTTGTAATCACACGATATATTTTAATATATTCGAATTTTTCGTCCCTAATTACATCAACCATTAGGCTAAAAATAAGTGCGCAAAAATTTATGTCACTTTGAGATCATGTTAACATATTTAGACTCTATAGGTTACCGCGATTTCATAAATATAAATTTCTTAAGAATCTGACACAGTATGGGTGAGATATAACATTTATGGTAAATAAAGATCTATCATACTTAAAAAAGTTATAACGACGAAAATTACAAGGAGATTGGTCGACTTTTGGAAAAATTCACCAACTAGGCAATCATAGTATTACTTAAAGTAAGAATTATGAGGAAATGATTGCCTAAAACGGACGTCATATGAGAGAGCTATGATTTTTATAAAATCATAACGGTAATAAAAACACGTCGAAAAACGAAGGTCAAAACTAGACAAAACGACCAACATGAAAGTTGTAGAGAATGACAAGAGCTACATGGATATATAAAAGTCGTTGACAACAAAGTTCGTATGCGAGACTTACAGAATTTCAAAGTTGAATTTTTATCGTCGCGCGCGCTTGCGCGCACTGACACCCGATACGTCGAGATATGGGATGACGTGACACACTGAGATGAGGACATGTGGCAGCATCGTACGATTCATGCGTAATTATGTGGCGCACACTCCAAAACTTGCTATAAATAGCAGGTTTTGGCAACTCACTTCCTCATCCCTCTCTTTCATTTTCTCTCTATATCGTTTCGTGTGCCACTGCCCCGAGCATCTCTCGAAGTGCGAACTTGTGATTTCTACCATGTCGCAACGTTTTCATAATTCACAGGGTGAGTTCACAGTCCCATTTTACAAACCTTTTCGAGAGGGATAACGTGTCTAAAATGCAACTTTACATAGCTATTACTAATTGTAGTTAGATAAGTATGTTCATAACATCAGGATGATATTATGTCCGGTAATTACTCTACCCAAACTCTTTAGCTAATATTATGTCTAGTTGTTATGCTAAACCACTATGATAGATAAGATCATACCTAGTTGTCATGCTGGCCAGTTGCCAGGAAACGCTGAAACTTGTTATTTTAGTCACCCTTTGGATAAGCTTAGTATCTAGTGTTACTCTGCCCAAATACTCGGCTACGCAAAACATGCTAATTATATATATACATATCAGATAAATAATATATATATATATATATATATATATATATATAAAATAAGTAAAACGGTATTAGTACAACGCGAATAACAACACGACCGACCAGGGGAGGCCCCCACAACAAGAGTTAGATGAGACACGATTCATCAACACGCTGATAGATTTTCAGCTAGCTCCCGACCTATAATCGTTAAATCTTAAGTGGGCGGAAAAGATATGTATAGATCTATACGGAGTTGACACCCCACTTATGGTTGTTAACTACAACTCGACGACATGTCGAAGCAGGCATAACTTTCTAAACACAACGACGTCCGATGAAGCGTCGTGGATTTTTGGGATCAACAGTCATAACTCAGTTATAGGAAGTCATCGTAACTTTGTTAAACTAGAACTAGCTATCTTAGACTACTACTAGGAACCAACCTAAGAAAGTAGTGATAGCACACACGAACTTGAGGAAGCAAGTTTAGGATAAACAAGATAAATTAAAACACACACGCTTTAAAAATCATAAACCTATGTACTCACCAACATTATGTTGACCTCTCAAACCACATGTATTCTTAGGAGAATGAACCCGTTTGAAGAATGAGATAACCCCGGTGATGCAGCCCGAAGTCTATGTGTTTTACTTTTGTACTTTGCCTTCGTAACCTACTTGTACCTTGAACAATTATGTAACATATTTTATTTAATAAATAAATAGTGATGTTGTGTAATACATCATGTGTATTTTCAATGTATATCTTGGCCTGAAATCTCAACATCCCAACGTCGCACAGTCTGGCGTTTTCGCTGCCGGTCAGAGGTGTAACAGGTAGGATTATTAGGGACTGGGTTGTATTTTATTTTCTTTTTTGTTTAATTTTAAATCAGAAAAATAACAAAAAAATGAAAATGAAATTTATAAGGGGCAAACATGTCATTTTAAAAAAAATCAAAATAAATTGGACTAAAATTGCAACAAAATTAAAGTTGTAGACCGGTAGTGCGTAGTCTAAAAGTTTTTGGACCAAAAAAGCAATTGTCGACTAATCACAAGGGATTATTTTTGCAATTTTATCAATATTTTCTAATTTTATGTGGTATTTCGTGAGAGATTCGAAGTGGTGGCATGACAGCCTTGTAAAGTTAGTGGGACAATGCTTGAGTTAGTGGTTTAGCAGTCCAACTGCTTTGACCACAAACACACACGAAGACCAATTAATACCAATCATACAAACTTCAATCCCCTGATCCCCTCCTTTACTTTACAGTTTCGACTGCTTATCACGTATTTAATTAGTATAACAATAAATGATTTAATGGTATTATTAGTTTATATTATGATTTAAGTTAGATATTTATATTGATAAATGTTGTCCACAAGTGTATACAACACTTGGAATATGTTTTTAAAGAAAAAACAAATAGTTGTGTAAGAGAAATATGAAGATATATTGGGAAAATAATGGAAATCTATAAAAGATTGATGTAAGGTTTCAAAATAAAACAGTGGGAAGTTGTGCGTTTATATTTCAGTAGATAAATATAAAATGTGTCTACTTAATTACATATTTTTGATGGTTTAATCTTATCTTATTTTATCTTATTTATTATTATCCTAATAAAAAAAACTCATTTTTGCCAAATCATTGGATGTTTTAGGTAATAAGAATAATATCTAAACAATTTTAATTATTTCTTATTATCCTAATAAAAAAAATCATTTTTGCCAAATCATCGGATGTTGTAGATTATAAGAATAATATGTAAACAATTTTAACTAGTTGAATGGTATATATATATATATATATATATATATATATATATATATATATATATATAGTTTTAAACTAGAATTTCACTGGGTTAAAAGAATAATATGTGAACATTTAAAACTAATTAAGATAAAGTTCATTACCCTTCTAAGTCAGTTTTCTTGTTTTCAATGATCAAATCGATTTTGTTTAAATTTAAATACATATTACGATCATATCGTCTAATTTTACTATTCTATTATTTTGGGCTTGATCGGTTAATATCTTAATTAGCTTTAATCAATTATCTATAGTACTTTTGTTATCAGTTTTTAAAATATAATAAATAATTTCCTGGACATTAAAAATGAATGTGATTTTTCATTCAAAGAGACGACTTTTTACTTTTTAGAAACGTTGAGCATTGGCACTCCCTTCTGAGTTCTGACCTTGACCAAATCACACTACTGTGTCTTTGCATTGTACACCGTATCGCATGGGAGAAGACCCGATCTTAATATTTGTGTCATTTATTCTAAATCTATTGTGAAATAATCATTGTACCCTTAGATTTGATTTCAAAGTTTAGATAATAGTACATGAAAATTGATTAAATAAATATAAGGGCATGTTCAGTTTTGATTCACAGATTTTGGAAGAATTTTGTTTTTTTTTTCTTTTTCTTTTGTAGGATACACACCCCTATTTTTTATAGCGAGGATCTTTGCATTAAGTTTGCATGTTTTGGCAGAGTTAATCAGCAGAGCATTGAGCATACATTTTAAATTACAAAATTACAATAAAAAATGTAAGAGTAAATCAATGGTGAAAACAAAACTTTACCTTCTATCATCATCCTCATCAATAATCCGTCAATTTTTCTCCATCTTTTATTATTTTATATTTCTACACTAAAATTTTGTTTCAGATTGATTGTTTCTGGCAGCAACTATACTGGTCCAGCAACAAAATATCTTCACTTGATAATGATAATCCACCATTACTCAAGTAATTTCGAGCCACCCTCTTTCTGCACAAAAAAAATATATATATATATATATATACATCAAAATGCTTAAATAAAAATGAATATTGGGCAAGATATGCTTAAATTTATCATGATACCTTCTTTGGTTTGAACTGTTAATGGCTTCTGAAAAACGCAAAGATTCTGATCTTGAAATTTGGGAGAGTGTGGAGAGGTATTCATGGAACACATAGCCTTTCAATGATAATTGTGACTTTAATGGAACTATTGATTGAACTGTATTGCAAATTGGCGATTCTAGTATGCTGGTAAATAATTTAGATTATTAGATAATAAATAAATTACCTGATCGAAATTTGTCTAAATAAAATATTACCTTTTTAAGGAGACTCCACTTTTTTGAATTTTCTTGTTTAAATTGTTTTGGTTGATTAATTTTCCCAAAGAAACAGCGTTATTCGATGCTGCCAGCATCTCCCGACTCAAATCCAGTTGACCATTTGACCCTTTTTTTGCATATAAACAGAATCCATGTTGACCTATTGTTGACCCCATTTGCAGTTGGTCTTCATGCCAGCTGGACGAGTGTGATTTCTCGGGTGAAACCATCGATGGTTTTAAATAATCCTGTGAATAAAAACTGTATCAAATTCAAACGACAATACAAAGTTTTAATAAAAATGTGACAGATAATAAATATACTTACACATGTCAATAACTGGCAGTCTGAAAGTAATAAATCAGCTTCCGATATTAAATTAGTTATTCCATGAGAAAGTTGTAAAGCTTCTAAACTATCTTTTTCCTCATTGGAGACATATTGCCTTAACTCATGCTCACAATTACGTAGTTTTCTCCATGTTTCTTGTACAATATCTACTGATTCCAATTCCGATTCCGGTTCCAATTTCTTACTGAAATCAATTCGGCTACACTCATCCATCATTTGATATTCCCTCGGGAGACCCGCCGTCGGTTCAACATGGGAATCACCGATTTCTTCCCCATGATTTGGTGCTGAATCCAAACCGGAATCCGTTGCAACCGCCATTGATGGAGCTTTATCTTCTTCACAAGAATTATGAAACTCCATTGCCACAGTTCTTGATGTAATATCCATGCTCATGGCACCATCTTCGATTCCGCCATCAGAACACATTCCATTCCCGAGTTCTGTCTCGGGAACAAAAGTGGATTCCGGAACACATGACACATCAAAGCACTCATCTTCGGAATCAGAAGACATAACGGAATTGTATTTCCTCCTAATCCTTTTCTCAACGACCACTTCTTCAATTACATCCTCGGGTACATCCGGTAAGCAATCTCCGGAATCAGACATTCCGGGGTCATGTTTTTTCTGAAGGGTTCTTTTGGTGAATGCAACTGGGGAACTCGAGCAACTTGGAAAGCACTGAGCTGAAAATTTATTTTCATCTTGATCGGAGCAGTGTCTGCGTAGCATTTCGTCTTTTTTGGCCTCGATGTTTTCGTCTTCTTCCTCGATTATCTCCATCATGGTATTATCATATTTTTCTGCTAACAAACTTGATTTTGTAATTTCTTTTTCAATAATTTCAGAAAGCTTGGAAGTGTGACCAGATGGGATCAGTTGTGGTAGAACATGATGGCTCGCATTAGTATCAAACAGCAGTGGAGCATATGTATTATGCATTTCATTATCTGGACCTTTTTTCCCATTTTGCCCCTGGCACCAAAACTGGAGAAGCATAATGGTTTTACGAATATCACCTTGGCAGTAGTCGATAAATCGTTCCACCAGGGAAGAGTTAATTTCGGCTTTTTCTGCAGTGCAAACCTAAAAAAAATAACTGAATAATATTAAATAAAAATCAAGATGGAAAGATTATAAAATTTGAGATGAAATCATGAAAAGAATATTTGTTAAAGTATGTTACCATTTTTGCAAGGCTGAGAAGATCATCTGATGATGGTATTCTAAAGCTAACCTCTATCCTATCTAAGTTATTCGGTAGATCAGGATCATCACCTATTAAAATATTAAATAAAACAAGATGATAATTAGATTCAGCAACTAATTTTTATAAAGATTTTAATAAATTGGTTTCTTACTGTTGCTGGTTAATATCATTGGTCGCTTTGCAGTTTCTGCAAGCTGTTGTATAGTAGAAATAAAACCACGATCTTCATATAGAGTTGCATCAATATCCTCGAAAAGAATTAGGGTTTTGATTCCATTTTGAGAAGATGAAATTTTATTCTCCTTGTCTATTGGTTTAAAATCTTTTGAATCCTCGTCATCTGATAATGGTATCAACTCAATAACATCATCTGATGACTTCAATTGATTCTTGTTATCTGGGTTTTCATGATTGGGGGCAGAACTGGAATAACATACAAATATTAAAAGAAATTGTTTCATAATCATGCATTTTATATACAACTAGAATAAAATAAAGTTGACAAACCATTTAAGCCAGTGTGATTCTACAGCTTCCCCAAATTTTTGCTTCACAAGCGCACCATTTCTCCAATCTGATGTATTCACCTGGATATTTTTCATGATTAAAGATTGATTCATATGGATTTCAAGATTTTTAAATAATTAAATATTAACATACCTCAATGACTTGAAAACCTTGCTCTTTGGCACATGCATAAATAGCTGCAGATTTCCCACTCTGAAAAAAATAATAATAAATAAATAAAAACTCTTTTGAGACTTGGAGGTAATTTTGAAAGTAAAAGGAACCATTTAAGTAGATTAAAAAAAGGAAAGGCATACCCCAACTGGGCCTGTGACTAAGAGGACATTTTTTAAACTGGTTTCTTCATCGGTTGACTCTGAATCAGAGTCAGTTGGAGAGTAGTTAAGGTCAAAACCTTGCATGATCCAATTATCATTATCTGTTGAACATTTACTGTTTCTTGACCCTTTTTCATACCATAGACATAGCCATTCGCTCAGAAACTTCACAGATTCATTGTTCCCACATATCTGCAGATCACATGAAAAGGTGATAAGGGTATTTTAGGAAACATGGATTTTTGCTTGATTTCAAAGCGGACAAGAGACAAAGGGAATGTAACTTTATGCCAAATAAATGTTAATAAACTAATCATTAGAGTGAAACTGTGTTTTCAGACATCATATTCATACCTCAATGGCCTTTTCAGGTTGATACTTGGTTGTCCATAAGCTATTCTCAGGCTGATAATTTGGAGGTATGGAAGAGATCTCTTCAAGTTGGATAGGAAATTGACTTGAATACCCCTTGTTCTGACACGATGATACTTCAAGTGGAGGGGCATCAAGGAAATTATCAAACTGCAAGCAACTGACTGATCCTTCATTGATCAGATGCAAGCAAGCATCTTCTGCATCTTGACTAGTCCTCATGGAGACACCTTCAGAAAATGTCCAGTTTCTCCAATCAACAGAAAAGGTTTCACCCTGCACATGTGATATTCAAAACTCAAGGAAAAAAGAAGATAGAAGAAAACACTGGAAAAATAACGAGTTCAGTTAACCACAGTGTATACCTGTGTTTTCTCAAATATATGAAAAGTACTGAAATCATTGCTGCTTTCCTTTCCCTCAACGTGACACCATTTAATCTCTAATCCAGTACTCTCAGTGTTTTTCTTGCCTGTTTTCCAAGATGAAAAGAAAGGATGTATTTGTTTTCCTGCAAATATACGTGAATTTTCCTGATAGAAAAATGATAACTATTTCAGAATCTAGAAAGAAAGAAAGAAAGTGATACAAGAAGAATATGGCCATAAAACATAGGTTACCTCAGCAGTCATTTTTGCCTCCAACCGTAGATCAGGAAGTGGCTTAAGTGGACTAGTCAGCACTTTCTCTGATAAATCTTCATCTAAAGCCCCATTAATAGCATTTCTAGATGGTGTTGAATTCATTTTCTTTTTTGGTGTAGAGCTAGCTCGCCTTCTGAGCTTCCTAGGGCTCTTTGAATCTTCAAAGACAAATGAATTTAATACTATAAGGGTTTTAGAAGAATTAAAAATGATAAAATTGAAGAAAATCATCATACTTGTAATGACATCTGATGGCGAACAATTTAGCTCAACTTTTTCAGGTGTATGGGTTGGCAACTGCTCCTTTTTCTGTCTCCGTTGATGGCGTCTCTCAGAAACTTTTAAGAAGAAATCACCTTCTGCATAAAAAAGGTATTATTTATAGTGAAATACAATCCCAATGCCCATTGTCAATTTCAAATGATGTATTAAGTAGGGTGTGGAATTTGTCCAGGTCAGCAATCACTTACTAACAGTAGCAGGAGAATTTTCTTCCTCAGTATTCTTTCCTCCAACCTCATTTCCATTTACAGCAAGCTGGTGTATAAACAATCATCATTTACAAATTTCAAACACAAACAACAAAAACAATGTAATAACATGTTGAAAGATTCAAGGACTAATTTCGTTTTATTATTTGTTTTTTTTTTTTTTTTTTGTAGTTATGGAACTTGTGATTCCAAACAATTAAACTCGTTTACTCTTCTGATGCAATTGAAGTATTTGGTTCTTAACTTCTTATGCAATGTGTTGAGTAGTTTCATATGTGAATGGCTGAAGTGAAAGTCTAGGGTTTTATTCCTGGGATCAATTTGTTGTTTGATAGCTGTATGTATGTAATTGCTAATCTTTATTCCCATGCTTATTTTATAATTATAAATATGCCGGGATGAGCTCACATTTGGAGTGATTAAACCCTAAAGACCTTTATGTGTTATTTCTTGTATGGATACATTAAATTATTCTCATTAGCATCAGTAATCAGTTTTAATGGTAAAAAAGTCTAGTGTGATTTAATAATGTCATATTAGCTTTTGTCCAAGATTATTTTTGCAACTACCTAAGAATTGACAACCTTAGGATTACAAATATTATTGTGTGTGATCGTTAATGTGGAAACTAATCTACATAATGGTCTATTGACCGAAACATCAATAAGGACCTCACTAGTACTGTAGTAAATTGTGTTAGATCCCAATAAAAAATATGCACCTTTCTTGAAGCTCGCGATTGGGACACTGCTTTTGGCTTTCGCTTTTTATTTTTCTTGCCTTGACTCTGACTCCCACAATACTCATCATCATCATCATCATCATCATCTTCATGATCTACATCAGGTTCAAGATCTTCATTTTGTTCATTTTTATCAGAGGAATTGATAGGCAACTGCTCCTTTTGCTGTCTCAGTTGACGTTTCTCAGAAACTTTCAAAAAGAAATCACATTCTGCAAAAAAATATAAATTACAGTGAGCCACAATGTTGATGTCCTCTATTTATTGTCAATTTCACATGATGTACAGTCAAACAAAAGAATACATATGGAGGGTGTGGAAATTGTCCAGCTCAGCAATCACTTACTAACAGTAGCAGGGGAATCTTCTTCCTCAGTATTCTTTCCTCCAATCTCATTTCCATTTACAGCAGGCTGGTGTAAAAGAACAATTATCAGTTACAAGTTTTTTTATTTTAAAGAAAAAAAAACATATACAATAACATGTTTAAGCCCCCTGTGTCAGCAATGCAAGTACTCAGCTTTTGATAAACCTGTTAATTGGTGTTCTTAAAGACATGAGACACATGATGAGAAGTTGAAGTGTGTTTTGGATCTTGTTTAGCTAAGCATTAAATTCTTCTTCCATGAAACAATCAATCATAAATATAGGGTGAAATATGCAGCAAAGCTTTGAATAGAATGGTCATGCTTTAATGTAGCAATTGAGAATGGAATGGTTTAAATGTGATATTTGATTTAGATATTTGCTCACACTCCTATAAAAACAATCAAACTATCTCTTCGGTGAGTAAATAACTAATAATCCAGACTCTAATCTACTAGAATTAGCTCAATTACACTCCCTGGAGACCTATTTATGTAAATCATATAACTAGCACTTCAAGCATAATCATTTAACTCAGGTAGTTGTCAACTTTATTAAATCTAACATCGGTTACCTCTGCAGACATTTTTTGCCTCCAACTGTAGATCAGGAAGTGGCTTAGGTGGAGTAGTCAACATTTTCTCTGATAAATCTTCAGCTAAAGCCCCATTAACAACATTTCTAGGTGGTGTTGAGTTCATTTGCTTTTTTGGTGTAGAGCCAGCTTGACTTGTAATGACATCTGATGGTGAACAATTCAGCTCAATTTTTTCAGGTGTGTGGATAGGCAACTGCTCCTTTTTCTGTTTCTGTTGATGGCGTCTCTCAGAAACTTTTAAGAAGAAATCACCTTCTGCATAAAACAATATAACTTATAGTGAAATACAATCCTGATGCCCAATGTCAAATTCAACTGATGTATTAAGTAGGGTGTGGAATTTGTCCAGATCAGCAATCACTTACTAACAGTAGCAGGAGAATCTTCCTCCTCAGTATTCTTTCCTCCAATCTCATTTCCATTTACAGCAAGCTGGTGTAAAAACACAATTATCATTTATGACTTTCAAACAAAAAAGCAAATGCAATAACATGTTGGAGGATTTAAGGGCTATTTTCATTTTGACTTCTCTTGGTTGATATTTTGTGTTGTGGAACTTGTTATTCCAAACCATGAAACTCATTTACTCTTCTGATGTAATTGAAGCATTTGGTTCTTTTGCAATGTGTGAGTAGCTTCTTATAGGGTTTTGGTTGTGAATGGTTGCAATAAGAGTCTAGGGTTTTACTCTTGGGATGAACTTGTTTCTTGATAGTTGTATATTTGTGATTGCTAATCTTTATATTCTCATGCTTATTTTATAATCATAAACATATCGGGGATGAGCTCACATTTGGGGTAATTAAACCCTAAACACCTTTATATGTTATTTGTTGTAGGCTACATTCTTTTCATCAGCATCACTTGGTAAGAACGTATAGTGTGATTTCATAATGTTATATATTAGCTTTTGTCAAGATTACTCTTGCAACTACCTAAGTATTGACAACCTTAGGATTAAAAATATTATTGTATGTGAGTGTTGGTGTGGAAATTTAATTTACTTAATGGATGTCTTAACCAAAACAGCATTAGGGGATCTCACTAGTTATGTGTTGTTAACTCAAAATCTGAATTGGGTTATATATTTGCTCACCCTCCTTACCTATAAAGATACTCAAAACTCTCTCCGTTTAATGAGTAACTAAAACTAATGATCCAGACTCTAATGATCTAATCTACAAAACCATCTCAACTACAATCCCTAATCTCTAGGGATCTATCTATGTAAATCATATGACTCGTACTTCAAGCATCACAACTCAACTAGGTAGTTGTCAACTTCATTACATCTAACATGCTAGTAAAATGTGTTAAATCCAATAAAAAAATCCACACCTTTCTTGAAGCTCGCGATTGGGACACTGCTTTTGGCTTTCTCTTTTTATTTTTCTTGCCTTGACTCTGACTCCCACAATGCTCCTCGTCATCATCTTCATGGTCTACATCAGGTTCAAGATCTTCCATTTGTTCATTTTTATCAGGTGAAGTGATAGGCAACTGCTCCTTTTGCTGTCTCAATTGACGGCGTTTCTCAGAAACTTTCAAGAAGAAGTCACATTCTGCAAAACAGTGTGAACCACAATGTCGATGTCCTTTATTATTTTCAGTTTCATATGATGTGCAACCAAACCAAAGAAGACATATGGAGTCAAACTTAACAATCACTTACTAACAGTAGCAGGAGAATCTTCTTCCTCGGTATTCTTTCCTACAAGCTCATTTCCATTTACAGCAAGCTGGTGTAAAAAAACAAGCATCAGTTACAAGTTTCAAACAGAAAAACCAAAAAAGCATATGCAATAGCATGCTTAAGCCCCCTATGTCAGCAATGTAAGTACTCATATTTTATAAACCTGTTAATTTGTGTTCTTAAAGACATGGTGAGAAGTTTATGTGTGTTTTGGATTTTGTTTAGCTAAGCACTAAATTCTCATGAGTCATGCCATGAACAATCAATCAGAAAACAAGGGTGAATTATGCAGAAAAGCTTTGAATAAGATGGCATGGTTTAATGTAGCAATTGGGAATGGAAACTCTCAACATACACATGCTTAGCATGCGGTCATGTTGAATACAACATTTTCTCCAAGTAAATTACTTCCTGCTGATTCGAGAAAGTAACCTGGCAAAAAGTTGACATCTAACAGCAAATCCTTGATGTTGTTATGATGTCTAAGTTACTTTTCTTTGTTGTCCTTATGAAGTCTTATACGTTCTCACTGACTAGCATTGTCCATGACATGCTTCTGGTTACTTGCTAGTTGCTACTTGTTTAATATGATGATATGCCACAAGGCTCTAAAAGTCAAAACACAAGAACGTGACATAGTACTAGTGGGTGGCCGATCTGTTTTCCTTGTCACAAAAGTGCAACCACTTGGTTTGTGGATGGCACTTGTTCCCTTAAGCGTAGATTGTTAACTGGAATCTGATATTTGATTAAATATTTGATTATACCTTCAGTAAGTAAATAACTAATAATCCGGACTCTAATCTACTAGAATCAGCTCAATTACACTCCCTGGTGACCTATTTATGTAAATCATGTGGCTAGCACTTCGAGCATAATCATTCATCTCAGGTATTGTCAACTTTTTAAATCTAACATGTTTACAGACCGTTCAATGCAACAAAAATAAATATACGGACCTTCGTTGAAACTCGAGTTTGAGACACTACTTTTGGCTTTCGCTTTTCGTTTTTCTTGACTTGAATCTGACTCCCGCAATACTCCTCTTCCTCGTCTACGAGGTCTACATAAGGTTCGAGATCTTCGTTTACACTGACGACATTGTCTTGAGACTTGTGCGGGACCAGTGTCGATTGAATCAATCGCCGACGAACAGGGAGTTTGGTCTCCGAATTGGAGGAGATCTCCATCCAATCAGCTCAATTTAGGGTTTTAGAAACTTCCACGTTTTCTTCAAATTGTGGGATTTTGGGGTTAGAGAGAGATGTAGCCACGAAGGAAATGTTTGGGAAATTGTAATGGAGATTGCAAGGATACACGCTCGATTAGGGCTCGTTTCCCGCCTTTTTACTATCTATAGACGGATTGAAAGGAATCAGTATATTACAGGAACTAGGATAAAGCCCTAAAATCAATTTTGGGGATTTTTAACAAAAACAATCCGAGTCAATGGAGGTAATTGGTTTCGATTTCCCGCGCTCCTGTGATCAATATATATTTAATTTTTTTAAAAAGCTGATAAGTTTGTTTCCAATTGTTATTGTTATTTTGAAAAGCGTTGATATTAAATTAATAAACAGCATATAGTCATAAAAGTCTTTTATATTTACATAAAATTAATGTTTACGTCCTATGTCCGTTTTCATGTTTATTAATACCTTATATTTGTCTTTTTTTTTTTAACATTTTTATCAAAAATTTTATCTTTCTAGCCGGTTATCATTACCATAAAAGCATTTATATTTTACTTATCACCACTACCACAACCAGGGAGCAACATCATCTACTACCATAGTACCACTTGTCTCGGCCATCACCACCACACTCTGCCACAACCACTACCATCCGCCGACAACACCATCATTTACCACCACCTGCCATATCTTGAAATCAAAACACCACTAGGCCCGGCCCAATACATGGGCGAAGTGGGCAGCAACACTTTGAGGGCATAAAATCAGTCCAACAATCTATATTATATATAATAATGGCCCAAAATAAATAGCCCAATATATGTTTGTTATCTGATTTTAGACATCCAGGACATGAAAAAACTAGAAAAGGCATCGAGACTTAGGCGCGAAAACAACTATGAATCGACGATTAGAGAACTCGATGTCTCAATTGCTCATAGAAAAACGAAACGGTGCCTAGAAACACGTTGTTGTGATGTTGTCGATTGGTGAACTCGCTATCTCAGATGCCTAAAATTCGTTGCTACACGATCTGATAAATAAAAAGTAATAACCATAACATATTTGAAGATTTCTCTGATTTTCTCTAAAATTATATTATGCTTTGGGTGTCTTCAAGTCTCTTAGTGATTACATAGCTCCAAATTTCTCTGATTTCTCTAGTCTGTCCCAGTTTTGATTTTGAAGTGCTCTAATATGATGCGGTGGATAAAGACTTAATGCCGTGGCTCTAGCCTTCTAGGTATGGAGATATAATGTACTGATACGTTGATTATGATTTGGGTGAATTTAAATTATCTTATTCTGATTTCTCTTCTTTGTTCTCATTTTAATTTCTGATTTATGTTAATTGTTCATTGTAATTTCATTAATGTCGACTAACAGTGTTTTTATTATTGTTTTAGAAATTGAATTCTTTCTTGTTGGTGTTGTGACACGTTTCTAAATTTTTGTGGTTTCTTTCTAAACTTTTGTGTTATCTTTATGTGATTCTTCATGAGGCGTACCATATTGTTTTTTTTTTTTGAACATTTGAAGTCCTGATTATTTTGAATATTTGGAATTCTGGACAAAATATTGATTATTGTGGGCGCGACAGGGGCAGTGGTCAACCACCTTTGTATTATGCGGTGGTGTATATGTCAACATACAAACTTAGTTACCAGATATAATAAAAACTCAGATGATGTTTGGAATTACGAATCTGACAATGAATGAAATGGTGTGGTGTGGTTTATTCCGTTGAACTATTCGTGAAGGAATTAGATTCCTTTGACGTGACTTTCATTATTCTGTCACAAAATGAAATAAAAATTGACCTATTTTTATTTAAGAACTTATTGATTTAGATTCAATCACATTCTAATTTAGTGAAAAGCATGAATTAAGCACAAATATTCTTATAGATTAAACCAACATTAAAAAGATTTATGAGTTATAGCAGAAATTTTGAACCACCCCAAAAGATATTTCACATTATAAAAAAGCATTTTGTTTCAACTTTCATCTTTTGATTTTGGAAAATCTGTGAGAAATAGCAATGTCTTTTACTTTCTCTAGAGCGACGTACATAACTTTTTATCCATTATAACAATGTACTTATAATAGAAATATAACAACGTACCTACATAACATATATAAGGGCATAAAATTCTTATCTCACCCAAGGTATTAAAAACAACTGGACCGGCCCTGAACACCATTATTTGCCACCACCATGTTGTGACATCCCCATTTTCACGGTCAGAAAAGACCGATTTTGTTTATGCTTTATAAAAATTAGAGTACCTATTTTAATAAAAAAATGTTGCGGAATTTGTTCCTAAGAAAAACATGATAAATCGTTATCAAAGCATTTCGAAGAATGTATTTTTGTTCATTTAAAACATTTGGGATGTCATCATCAATACAGAAACATAACATAAACAAAACTTACATTCATTTACAACTAGTGATCTCATCTCTTTAATCCTCAGTGGAAATGTAACTCATATCGACACCTGTGATACAAATAAGCTTTAGTGGGTCAGGTTGAAAACCTGGTGAGTACATAGGGTTTCCAACCCACAATAATTTAATTATTATGTTTAAACATCAAACAATCAACCCAATTACTCATCCCCATTATCTTCCTTACTCTTTGTTGGATTAGTGTCTAAGCCCGTAACTATATTTGGTAAGTACCTGACCCGGTTGTGCATGGTCCTTTTGGGTTGCCTTCACCATAGCAACTTAACAGGGTGATTTATAAAGAGAGAAGTTATATATATTAATATATTATGAGAATAATATTAAGGAATAATATATTATTTTGATTAATATTAGTCATAGATTAATTAGGAATTAATTTGGTGACTAAAAGAGGTTAATTGAATAAAGGGCTTAAACTGTCAAATTTGTGATAGTTGTGTTTTTGGGCTATGAATCCTTATGGATATTAGGGTGGCGAATTTAGGGTTAGGATCTCTTAAATTCGTCCAAGCCTCATATCAAGAAGGATCTTTGGATTGCTTAGGGACTAAGTTATTCAATTAGGGTTAAGGATACAACCCTAGTAGCTCATAGTATAAATAGACCCCATGGGTAAGGGAAATCGGCCACTCTTGTGAGATTGTAACCCTAGAGCCGATTTTCTCACATCTCTCCTCTCTCCAAATCATCCTCTTGCTAGTTGGTGTTTGTAAGCCATTAGAGGAGTGACAATTGTGACTCTAAGCTCCAAGAATAAGAAGATTCAAGCAAGCAACTTAAGGTATTCTTCTAGATCTGATTTCATGTATTATGATTCAATTGTTATCTCTAGATCTAGCATTGTAAGCCTTGGAAACATGCATGTTCAATTAGAGAAACCTAGATCCAAGCATTAGGGTTTGCATGTGCACATAGAAAGTTCTTATGGCTCAAACCCATCAGTGGTATCAGAGCTTAGATTGATTTCTATTGAATTGATGCTTTGATTGATTGCTTTTTACATGAAAAATCGTTTTTTTGTGCCCCTGACTGATGAACTCGGCGAGTCCCATTGTGGACTCGGCGAGTAGCATGAACTCGGCGAGTCCATAATGGAACTCGGTGAGTTCGAGCGTCGTTTAGAGCATTTCAGGATTTCTTGCTGTTTTTTGCTTGAGGATACTTGCCTTAATTGTTTTGGGTCATTAAATCCGAATTTTATCATATATTTGAGTATATCTTTGACCAACAAAAGATAATTACCAATTGATTGAATAATAATTTCCTTATATGATAATATTGATTATTTGAATTAAATGGTAATTGTCTTGCAAGTAATATTGACTAGGTCAAATTTAGATAATCATTAATTAATTAGTTGATTTATATTATTTGCTATTTGATCCTTTTGTTTTGAAAAGTTCAAAACTTGTCCTCAAGTTTTGAAATTTTAAGTTTTGTGATTAAAAGTTTAATTTGAATAATTAAATTTCAACCTAGAATTTTACAAGTTTTAAAATTCAACCCTATACTATAATATTATAGATTAATATATATATATATATATTATATATATATATATATATATATATATTAAATGCTAGTCTTACCGTTAGTAGGCCTCATTCACGAAGCCAATCTATAAGGGGGGTATAAGGTTATGGCCTATAAAATGCCGTTTAATGGGTGTCCATTCTCACCCACCGCTTCCTTGATTGGTGGAGGGTCGTTAGCCGAACGGGTAGGATCGGGCAAACCTTTCCTCATTAAAAGTATAATGAATCTATATAAAGTAACTAAATGTTTTTTACAAATTCCCAATCTTAGTTACTTTAGGAAAAGTGAATTGATGCAATCCCATGAAATTACACTTTGTACCCTTGCTAAGACATTAATGGAGCGCGTGTGGTTAACCGGCACATTAATTGGGTTCTAAGCAAAGGTGGCAAAGGGTGACTCATTGTTTGTTATAGTTCGATGGAGCGTGTGTGGTTAACCAGCACATCGAATAGGTAACTGTAACAATGAGGGCACCATGTACATTTGCATGGTTATTCACACCCAAACGAGAGGGGCATATCGAGATTTAAACATGCCATTGAAAAGTTCAATGTATCTCAAAAGATCTAGGAGTTTTCAATACATTTAAAACCTAATTTCTTTTTCGTTTTTCATGGTGGAGAATTAGTGAATCGACATTCACTTGCCTTCAAATTATTTACTTATTAGATTACGGCATCCCTCTTCTAATTTGTGAATAATGTTGTTGGTTCCTAGCCCTAATTTTTCATTTGGGTGATTAATTTGGAAATTCATTTCTAATCAACTTTGTTCTTTTTCCATTTCAGATGTCGAACGCAAACAACAACGCTTCTGGGTCAAACTCCTCTGGTTCATTCTCACTCATGAACTTGTGTGGGAAGTGATCTTCGATGGGACCAATTTCAGTAATTGGATCCGCAACATTCGCATGGTCACGCTACGAGGACAAAGAGTATGTCCTCGACGAGAAGCTTAAGGAGATTGATATCGAAACTGCTACTACGCCCGATGAGACGCGGCCTACGAGGCCCACGAGCGTGATGCCACGAAAGTCCATTGCATCATGCTCGCTATGACTGCTGAACTCCAAAAGTCCTATGAGGACAAGTACCCTATGAGATGCATCAGGATCTGCTGGAACGCTACCACCAGAGCGCCAGGCAAAGAGGTATGAGATCATCACTTCGATGATCACTACCAAAATGGAAATGGAGAGTCTCTTACTGCCCATCTGCAAAAGATGCAGAGATATGTTG